GGGGTGTACCCAACTTTTATCAACTGTTATCCTTCCATGGAGGAGCAGGCATTGGCAGATAAATCAATCTCTGTGGGGGAGGTTCCATGTAGTTTCCTGACCCGGGTCCCATGTTGGTCCTGACCGCCGCAGAATTGGTCGTGGTATTGAGCTCTACATCATCAGTACGTACAACATATCCTACAAAGAGGAGCCAAAATGTCAAGCTGTAAAGATGGAAAACATGATAATACCATATGACAGTTACAGGGTATAATTTACCCCTCTGAATATGTCTAGCTATTGGGTAAGCTTCTTAGCAAGGATGTTAATGAGTGTAGCTAACATAATTATATGTTATTAACATGGTTAATAAAATAACAAGCATAATTAGTGTTTTGTGTGGAGGACAACACCATCTCCATTGGCGAGACGAGAACTCCTGCCTCTGTTTCATGCTGTATTGTATCGCTGGTCTTTGACTAGCTCCCTGTTCGCTCAGTGTGGTTGGGTTTCGGTGTCCCTCATGGGGCTCAGGGCAGGGTGGGGGCCCTGAACGCAGTGAGATTTGGAGATTTCTGTCAGCTACCATTCTCGAATACAGCGCCTCCTACAGGCCAGTCATCACCCTGTGTGCTGAAAGTGGAATTGATGCTGCGCATGTCTGCGTTGACCCCCAGCCACAGGTCAGGGTGACGCTTCTCTGCTCTGTTCCCACAGGTCACTAAGATGGTGAAGACGGTGACGACACGCACCGTGCGCCAGGTGCCGCTGGGCCCTGACGGGGTGCCCTTCCCTGAGGGTTCGTCTCCTCTGGGCAGCTACACCAACTCCATCGACAGGCGCTTCATGAAGAACGGAGAGCGCTTCTCCACGCCGCAGGCCACGTCTACGTTGACCCGCTCCTACAACAACTACAGCGACTCATACGGCGAGACGCCGGAGGGCCCATACCGCCATTATGGGCTCCACGACGGCTACGGGGACTTGCCCGACAGCTACGGCAGCCTGTCGCGGGGCGTTAACTACCGACCCCGCTACCCATACATGGCCTCCAGTGGCTACCGGCCCGAGAACAGTTACACACTGCCCATCCGCAAGGACGACTACAGTCATGTGGCGCAGCCCCAGGTTCCCCTAGGGGGCACCGTCGACCTGAACCGCTCCCAGCCCGAGCGCTTCCAGGCCGAGCCCTACGGCCTGGAGGACGATCGGCGCAGCCTGGGCCCCGATGATGACGAGCCATACGACCTGGAGTCTGATTACTCTACAGCCAATCGGCGCACAGTGGGTGGAGCCAACCATGGCAGACACATGAGGGAGCCCCCCCGGGTCAGGTAAGCTCGTGTTTATCCTGTCCGCCTCTCTGTCTCTCCACACTGCGGCTTCTGCCTGCAAAAATAGACATTTCATTCCCGTGTTTTTTTCAATTTACTGAGGAGAATAGCATCACATGAGGAGAGGTGTCATTTGGTTTGGTAGCAGACAGTGCTGTGATTGTGAGGATGTGTATGACAGTCGTGCGAGGCGGTAATTTGGTGTACAACGCGCCAGCGCGCTCTGTCAGCGGGAGGACAGGAGCGGCGCATTTGTATGTAAATAGATGATATTTTTGTCCCTGAAAGACAAGAGAGGAATCATTTAATGCGGGTGACTCAAGCACGTCAAAGTCGGAGAGGACGCCGCGTCTCCCGAGGCCTCCTGGAGGGAGGTCTGTTTGTCCTCTGTGTGACCCCCCCCCCATACTTGGTGAGATACTGGGTGTCTCTTCTGGGAGCACATCACTGCTTCCTCCTTCCGTGGTGTACAGCAGGGCATTCCCTGTAATACACAGGATGTGAGATTTCGAAAGCCGTGAACTGGGGGTACTGGGAGTTTCGAACCCACACGTCCCCTTCCCCAGTGATTTTAGGTCATCTCAGGGTTACTGGAAGTCATGAGGCCCAAAAGCACCATGGACGAGACCCCTCCTACTACTGGTCTTCGTGCAGGTCTTTCATTTTTGGTCACCTGACAGCCCTGGCTGAGCATCCACAAGCCAGCTGGGGAGCATTTAATGTCGCCGGCGTGTTTTACCAAGGAGCCTTCAAAACACCACGCTGTGCTCAGGACTGCGTGACGAATGTGCTCAGTGTCCATGGAGCCCCCCCCCCCCCATTCTTATCGGACCCCTATAAAAACAGACGTTGACAGGAACCAGTTTATTGAGAGCTACAATTAAAGTGTCTTAATTACAGCCCTGTGCTGCGCCTGTTACGGTCTTGTAATTATTGTTTAAAGAACCTTAAATGAAGACATTTCTCTGAAAACGGTTCCCCCTTTCTACAGGAACCCTATTAGTCCCTGTAGTGTATTTAATTCATTAGTGAGTCGTGTGATGTCACATCCAGTCCCCCAGCCGGCCTGTCAGCATGATTAATGGCTGCTTTTAAATGGCAGGGATCATTGCCCCGACTCTCATGTCCCGTCTCACTTTGCGTGAATCTGTCGACCTGCCGGCCTCAGTGGAGTTTGGGGGGCGGCCTGTAGTGTTGGAGCAGGTGCCTTGGGGGCTGATGGGGAACAAATTAAGAACAAGGAAAAGGACAATATGAGATTCATGGTAAAGAGGAAAATGGACAGATACCAGCAGAGGGATGGATGGATGGACAGAGAGAGAGAGACAACCTGATAGATGGACATGCAGACTGGTGTATAGGCCAGAGACGTGAGGTGCATCAGAGTCGCATGGGAGGTGGTGTTATGGCTGCAGATAATGGGCACCAGATCTATGGGGGGGTTCAGTTCAGCACTCTCACATGTGAAAAGTCCTGCATCAGTCTTTTTCTTTTAATGTTTTTATTATGAATACAGGGTCCCTGAGCTTCGCAGATTCGGTGGAGAGTCACCGTGTTTTCCCGCTCTTTTGGGTGCCCCTGTGGCTCTGCCCTGGAGGTGTGGCTGGCAATGTGGAAAAGCACAGGATGTGCAAATGTGGGGTGTTCTTTTCTGGCCTGTTATTCTGTTCTGAATGTTGCTCTGTGCCTGAGGCCTGCCACACACATGGATCGCCCATCCCTTGCCAGCGCTGACCCCTGCCACCCTCACAGTGCCGTTGGTACACTCCTATTCCACAGGCTTCCGATTGGCTGATATGTTGCCAGCCAGGTTTGCTCCCGACTATAGCCCATCTTATTATGCAGCCATGATAAACGACCTCACTTCCTCTCTGGGCAGCGCCTTGGCCTCCAATCTGAAGGCCATGGGTCCCTGGGCTTGCTGGTGCCCCCTAATTGGGTCCCCTGTCTGCTTCCTGTCTGGAGTCGCGGTGTTAATGGATTTCTGGCTTGTTGGGCTCTGTTGTTTAACTGCCTCCCTGCTTCCGGTCTTTAAGTGTGATGCCCCCTTCTGGATGGAGTCGTACCCACGGGCTTGAGGAAGGTTGAGAGGAGCCTGTGTTTTGGTCTAAAAAGCAGAATGACGTGGGGTAGATGGGCACTGACCAGAAAGCGCTACCCCCCCCCCCCCACACCCTTCACCCCTCGTGCCCTGTCAGGGAAAATTGGCCAGTGAGCATTTTTAGTCCATTATAATCTTCATAGATTTTGGGAAGGATGTTTGCCTGAAGATGGTCCCCTTTTCGGCCACACAGAGCTAAAGGGGATTTTCTGTTGTACCCTAGGTACAGCTACCGGACACACCATTACCTAAGGAGCTGGGTCTTAGCTGTGGGATGATTCTTAGCGTCTTGTATGTGTTCCTCACCACGCTCCCTTGGGCTGTGCCCCCCCCCACTCTCCTTCCCTGCCTGTTAATAAATCAGAAGGCACTGTGCCCGCCTCTGCTGACGCAGGCAGATGCCCTTAACTCCTGGGGGGTTTTGTTTTGGGACGGTGCTCTTATCAGGACGGCACGTTTTGAGCTTCCTGTGTCTCCTGTCCTTCCATCTCTCACTTTATCTCCTCATCACCCCTCCTCTTGACTCAATCTGTCTCCCCAAACGTCTCCCCCCTTACACTCTCTCTGTTTGTTCTACCCCAGAGGGGGCTATGAGGACCCCATCGAGGCAGACCTGATCGACGACCGTCACCCCTACATGCCCAACTTGTACTCGGCCCCCCTGGCGCAGGCCGAACTGGGCAGCTTGGCCAGTCTGGACCGCATGGGGCCGATGGGCGGGCGGCGCTCGCCGTCGGCAGACAGCGTCCGTAAAGACCCGCGGTGGCGCGACCCCGATCTGCCCGAGGTCATCGCCATGCTGGGCCACCCCGTGGACCCGGTGAAGTCCAACGCGGCCGCCTACCTGCAGCACCTGTGCTACGAGAATGACAAGGTGAAGAAGGAGGTGCGGCATCTGAAGGGCGTGCCGCTGCTGGTGGGGCTGCTGGATCACCCGCGACCCGAGGTCCACCGCAAGGCCTGCGGAGCCCTGCGCAACATCTCCTACGGCAGGGACCACGACAACAAGGTGGCCATCAAGAACTGTGATGGCATCCCTGCTCTGATCCGGCTGTTGAGGAAGACCAGCGACATGGAGGTCCGGGAGCTCGTCACGGGTCAGTGCGGCGGGGGGGGACATGCCTTGGGGGGAGGATGGGGACATGGCTTGGGCAGGGAACACACCTCAGTGGTGGGGGGGGGCTGTGTGAGTGTACACGCTCTCCCTGTGTCCTTCCTGACCTGGGCTCCTGGCTCTCCTCAGCTCTGCGGTGAATAGCTCATGGATATTAGATGTATTTTTAAAGTGAAATAAAGTTTAGACATTGAATTTAAAAATCAAGTTCATTCTATAACAAATCCAGAGGCTGACAACCCCTCCCACTCATAATCTCCATTCACACCCCAGCTGCAATTTTCAAAGGGGTCTGTGGCATTTCCCCAGGCTAAAAAAAGGCTGTGCTGTCATGAAGGCCAGCACGGGCCATGTGGTTTTCACGATGAACGCACTGCAACGTGCCTGGGACCAGCACGCTCTGCTACAATTAAATGTAATTGCATGTCTTGGAAATGGAGCTCTTCACGTCGGTTGGTTGTGCTATTCCGGGCCGGCGTGGGGCCGACGTGGCTCCAGCCGATGGCTTTAACAGCCGAGACGGACGGAGCCGTCGGTATTTTCTTAAGCCCTTTATGTGCCTTAACTCCTAGTTTCTGCGCACGCTGTGTACCAAAGCATCCATCAGCCAGCCAGTTAGGGCCGCACTCGCAAAGCCAACCGAAAATGTATCCGTTTTATATTATTTAATCCTTAATTTAGGTTTTGGAAATCTGGTTTTCATTTGGCGAGGAACACATTGTGAGGAGAACCAGCCTGGATTGTGCTGGGCCCGTCTGAGCCGAGGGGCTTGGGCTCCCACACGGAACAGCCAGGAGAGACGGGGCGTGTCCCGTTGCAGATGAAAGGTGTGGAGCTTTCAGCTGCAGCCCCAATTCCCCTGAAGCGCCCCCCCGAGGGTTGCATTTGTCAGTGCAGCCAAGCCAGCTCTTGTCCCATCCGCCACCCGCTTGACCACCGTCCCCAACCAGGCGCACACAGCACAGCTACACTACAGCCTCCCGGGCAGAGGTCTCCCCCGCCCCCCCGCCGCTGTTACCCATAATTCCTTGTGCTAACAGAGATGAAGGGGGGGCACCACAGGCAAGGCCGGCAGTCTGTTCTGAATGTCCTCTAGACCCAGGAGATGGAATTAAAGGAAGCAGTTTCGAGGGTAAGAGGAAGGAGGGAACACGGTGAAGCTTTACCTCCCATTCATTCATTCGTTTATTTTAATTTGGTTACCAACTTTTATTGGATTACTGGACTGTTTAGCAGTAGCAGGAAGTGGGAGTTAGAGGGAGGGACTGGAAACGCAACATGAGCCCTTCGAAATTTCATTGTTGCCATGGCAGCGGTGTATGAGTGAATCTCTTCAGATAAGATGACAGGGAAATGCTTCAGTGCCACCAGTAACTCCAGCTGTACTTGTGTGTGTCTGTCGGTGTGCGTAAACGTGTGTGTGTGTGTGTGTGTGTGTTTGTGTGTCTGTCAGTGTGCGTAAATGTGTGTGTCTGTCTGTCAGTGTGCGTAAATGTGTGTGTGTGTGTTTGTGTGTCTCTCAGTGTGCGTAAACGTGTGTGTGTCTGTCTGTCTGTTTGTCAGTGTGTGTAAACGTGTGTATGTGTGTTTGTGTGTCTGTCAGTGTGCATAAACGTGTGTGTGTGTGTCTCTCAGTGTGCGTAAACATGTGTTTGTGTGTCTGTCGGTGTGCGTAAATGTGTGTGCGTCTGGCGGAATGGAATAACCGGCCTTTTGCGGGCCCCCCTTTAAGTTGGAGTTGGAGTGCTGCTTTTGGGGTCATCTTTGTTGCCGCATTTCTTCATGATTTTGAGTTTTACCCGGGAGGAGTCAGGAATGTGATGTTAGGGCTCACTGGAAGGCCATGTGCAGCCCACACCATTACAGCTGCACAAACACACGTAGCGTGCTTCACGGTGTCTCACAATGGTTATATTCATGTCACGTCACGGCGGCTCTGGGTTGAAAAGGGATAAAGAAACACCAGCATTGGCACAGAAAGCTGTGTTTTTTGCCATCTTGTCTCTGAAGTGTGATGACTTTCAGGGTCAGCTGTTTCACCTTTCTGCTTAATGAGGCCGCCCTCCTCCTCTTTTTAGTCGTATCCACACTGACCCCCTCAGCCCATCTCTGACACCCGCTCCCCCCAGCGGGGAGGTGGCCCGTGTTCTCGGCCGCTGAGCTGCATGGGAGGGTAGCTCCTTGTTACCTCCCAGCCCACCGTAAGGTTATTTTCTTTGAGGTAGAAAATGTTATTTTCTAAGGCATGGCTGTGCCTCAGCCACATGAGTGATGTGGAACAACAGGGCTAGCCGTGTTACGGGCAGAATCTGTTAGCCGTGTTACGGGCAGACACTGTTAGCCGTGTTACGGGCAGACACAACTAGCCGTGTTACGGGCAGACAATGTTAGCCGTGTTACGGGCAGACACTGTTAGCCGTGTTACGGGCAGACACAACTAGCCGTGTTACGGGCAGACAAT